CTTGTTTGCAAGTTACTGCAACTGAAAATAAAATACAAGAACCCTCAAAAAAGAACTCAAAACTACAGATTTAACTCATGCATAGACCTGCTAAAAATCAATGTAACCTTCACTGTTTTGATTTATTTATATCTAAGATTTCCATGATTATACCCGACCAAACTTGAATCCAAGACAATATGAAACCGGAGTTACTTGAGCTGATCCTATCTATGGAGCAACACAAGGAAAAAAGGTTCACACTTTCTCATTCTGTGACATGTTACGGATCTTACAACTTAAGTTTGATTTTATAAATGGTAACCTTCCGGTTCCCCTTAGCCTGCTGAAAGTAACTAGTTTTGTTTTGCTTTATGTTGAGGGAAAGAAAGGCAGGATAGCTGCTATGCAAAATCCTTTCGTGGGGGGAAAGCAGAATGCTGAGACTCAGAATTCCATGGCAGTTGCTGTAGCTGAATATTTGCATCAGCCAATGGCTGAAGACCAGGTATCCAACCAAAAAAAAAAAAAAAGCTCTTATCTGCAGTAAATTTTAAAAAAAAAACAGAAAAAGAATAATCAAAACATCCAAATGTTCACTGGAAAACAGTGCTTTTCCAGCTTTGATATATTATGCAACGGTTTACTCTCTAAGGGGAAGAAAACACAATCTAATTTAGTATCCTGTCTGCATCAAACAGTGAAGACAAGATACAGTTATATTCATAGCCCTTTTGCACGTGTCTGTTTAGTGAAAAGTCCCACTGAATTAAATGAGGCTTGTTCCAGGATCTGCCTGCGTGATCTCTCTCTCTCTCTCTCACAAACACACACACACACGTATACCCTGGATTAATCCCATAAAGATGTTGAATAGTAGAGACTGCCTACAGAAATGTACTGTGCTACAAAGAAGAGACAGCAACTGCTAAAAGGTTGGGCAGCAGAAATACATTATTGGAAGTCCTGTTCCATGGTTGTTGTTGTTGTTTTTTTGCAGGTTTGTTCGTCTTCCCGTTCCCCCCAGGAGATATGGGTTGATTCAAGAGCCAGAGCCAGCCTCTTAGAAAAAATGAATCTACCAGCACATGTCCAGAATATTTGGAGGGCCAGAACACTGCTCATCGTAGGACTGCTGAATTATTTGGGTTCCAATTGGAAGCCCTGGGACTTTGGCTTCTAATATGGACAGGGCCTTCCCTCTCTTTTAAGAGCTGGACCACTTGATCTAGTCCAGGGGTGTCAAACTCCATTTCATTGAGGGCCGCATCAGGGTTGTGTTTGACCTCTGGGGCCCAGGTGGGTGTGGCCAGCTTGATGTCACTCTTGTTGGGGGCACCTGTGCAGGCCGAGTGCTCGGCCAGCAAAAATGGGCTCCCAAGCTCCGTTTTTGGCTGCGATGGCCTCCTGCAACCCTCTGCCAGTGGAAACAGCTCAAAAGGGCTGTGTGTGGCCCTCCCAAACTCCGTTTTCACTGGCAGAGGCACCGCAGGCAGGTCCTTCACTGTTTCCAGGCCGGATCTAAGCACCCCATGGGCCAGAGTGGGAAAGAGTTTGACACCCTTGATCTAGAGCAGGGGGTCGCCAACCAGTGAGCTGGGACCACTGGTGGTCGGCAAGAAAATTTTGGTGGTCTGCAGAGAAAGCAATTAATCCAGGCTGCACGGGAACACAAGGCTGCGCTGCCCACATGGACCATGGGAACGCAAGGCTTGCGTCACTTGCATTGCGAATAACACGAGGTAGTGAGGGGAGGGGGGAAAGGGCAGAGGGGGAGAATTTGCCCTACTCACCCCACGTGCCTCGCCTGGCCACTGGGCTGCTTCTTTCTGCTTCTTTCTTCTTTTGCTTTTGGCTGCACGCAAGGAAAGCAGCAAAAGTCTTTCTCTCCCCCAAACTCCGCCAGAAATGAGTCTTTGGGACCCTGCAAGGCATTCTGCTCCAAGAGGCTGTGCCAGCACGACAAATCTCACAAAGACTCATTTCTGGCAGAATTTGGGGGAGAGAAAGAAAGACTTCTGCTGCTTCTGTTGCTTTCCTTGCATGAAGCCAAAAGTCTCTCTCCCCCCACCCCCACGCGAGAATGGAGCTGGAGACGGTATCCTGCGATCCCAACGGGGTGGGGAATTTTCCTGCAGATTTTTGGGATTTTCCCAGGGTCTGGTCCGAGGGATTTAAAATTACAAGTTTGGTGGTCATGAGGGTCCCACCCCAGGAAGTCAAAGGAATGGGGGCCCTAGTGTATCTTCTCTGTAACTGCCCTCCCCCGCCCCCCGTGCAATGGAACACATAACTTCTTGAGAAACAGGGCATGTCAATCTCTCTGCTTTTTTATAAACCATTGAAAACTTAGCCATTGTACCAAATATCTGTACCTCTTGGTGCATGGTTGCCTTTTAGTTATGCAATCGTTGCCTTTGGAGATTTTAATTGTACATCGTTTTTGTTTTGTTTTGAAAACCACCTCGAGTTTCAACGGAAATGGGCAATATATAAAATTGTGCAATAAAACATTAGAAGACATTTCTATCCAGAAACAAGCAGGAGCCAAATACTGACTACAAAAGCTAATTCCTTAAGTCATAATTTCAATGAACTGCACAAACTACTCACATTAAAAGTTGTACATCTGGTATAACTACTCTAAAGGAGGCGAGTACCTTTCATTGGATCAGGTATGATGGGCACAGTTTAAAGAAAAGCCACTGATTGTGATGATGTCAGGAGCTCGAAGCAAACAGAAGCAATGATCCATGTTTAAAGTATTCCCCGGAAGAAGCACCCACAGCCATGCACCCTGGGTTACCAAGTCTTCTTCTACACCGTAGATGACTAAGAGCTTTGAAGTCAATTTTAAATACTTCCCTCACTAGGCAAGCAGCAAACATGAATTAGAGTTGTTTGAACATTATGCGCAGAAAGGCCTTCAAGCTGTCCTTATCGTCATTACACAAGCATGCCTTACTTTGCATTCATCCAGAGGCAGGAGAGCTGCCACAACCAGCCCTGTCTCCTGCCAATGCAGATTCTTTGGATGCGGGTCGAAGTCAGGCAAAGGCGTTGCTCCAACATGGCTGGGGCAGAGGAAGCAGCTTTCCTCAATGCCCTTCCTATGCAACCAAACCCCATATTCTACTCCACATCCTACAAAGTGCCATTACCAAATGCAAACCATCCCTTACATTCCATTGCCGCTGATTCAGAAGCTGCCACCACCTTCATAATTATTACAATTGCAGACAATTCTGGAGGTTCCTTGCTTTGTCCACATGGACAGGAAAGAGAGAATGGGAGAAAAACAACCCCCAAAATAACTTCTGGGAACAAAACAAGGCAGTGGCATGTAATAAACAGTCCTTATTAAACATCATGTAATTTGTCTCCTCCTTAGCGAGTTGAAATTTAAATGGAAACTGAAATAAAAAGTGGTGTGTTTCAATGTGATGCTATTTTAAAAAGCTGATAATCACCAGGTGGGTTTTTACAAGCCAAGGTTATGAGTTCCTTAATTTGAGCATATCAAAATTGAGTTAAGTCAGCAAATCTCAGACTTAAAAACATCCTATGCAGATGATTTAAGGGTATAGCAGAGCTTTTAAAAGTGTAAAATATAAATATTTGCCTTTTTATAAGCCTATTAATTTGATCACAACTTCCCTTGAGTTTTAATGCTCTGGTCTTAACTATTGTGGAAAGAAGTTTGAACTGTTGGTGTTTGCTGCATTTATTGAAGTTTGATTATCGCACTTCAGTATCATGTTTTATGGCATGTGATTTTACCTTCATCAGCAACATTGGGAACATTTTTCTTTAATCTGGGATAAAAAATAAAATTTAGGTAAATTCCAACCTCTTACTTCTGCCAGGGTTTATTTAAAAATGTTTTATATTCCACTTTTCTAAACTCTACAACAGGGGTCCCCAACTCCTGCCATGGATGCCAGCAACCAGGCTGAGCAAACAAGTGAAACCCCATCTGTGGGATGCAGCAGGAGGTTTTTCCGGTCCGTGGAAAACCTTTTCTCTACGGACCCAATCAGAGGTGGTATTCAGCAGCTTCTGACCAGCTCTGGAGAACCAGTAGCGGAAAATTTGAGTAGTTTGGAGAATGGGCCAATCCCACCTCTGACTGGAGATTTTACAGTATCCTTCCCCTGCCATGCCCACCAAGCCATGCCCACAGAACCGGTAGTAATTTTTTTTGAATCCCACCACTGGACCCAATCCCCGATGCCCAAGAGGTTGGGGGCTGCTGCTCTAAAAATGTTCCACCAAAAAGCAGCAGATGTGCATGGGGGGGGGGGGGGAGGAAAGAGAGAGAGACCAGTAGTCAGACAATTCCTCTGCTTAGCAGTCCATACTGTCAGGAAATTCTTCCTAAAATGCTGTCTGAATCTATATCAGTTTCCATCTTTTAGCCTTCTATCGCTTTCAACACATAACACGGCTTATGCCCCTCTCTTGCACACAGCAATCTTTTAAAGTATTTGTCTCCCACCAATCTTTCACTGCTCTTTGAACTGTTGCATACAGGGCTTGGCTCCCAGTTAACACTCTTGTCTCCTCTGAACCCACTTCACTTCTGCCCTTTGAACTGTATCGTCCACAACTAAGCTCAGTATTCTAAGTACAAGCTAGCCAGCACAGGGGACAACGCAACCTATGGTTTCCATACGTTCTTCTGTTAAAGCAGTTTGACTGCGCGGAAACTTTCAGATGTTTGCTTATTAAATTCAGATTGTGGGCCACTGGGAGTCATAGATCCTGATCACATACACCACTATCTATCTTACATTCTGCAACCTGAAACCTGAATTTGATACTTTCTTCACAGGTAAAATGAACAAAATGTTTTCACCGCTGAATTCTTGTCTTTGGATCTGTAGTGGGTTTCAAAAACTTTTACTAGCAGTTCTGTGGGAGTGGCTTGATGGGCATGACTTGATGGGTGTGGCTTGGTGGGCGTGGCAGGGGAAGGATACTGCAAATTCCCCATTCCCTCCCCAGCCCACTAACCTGCTTTCCAGCTCCGTTCTCCTGGGCAGGGCAACCAAAGGAGACCCAGCCGATCAGCTGGGACTCAATGGGAGGCAGAGAAGAGATGGGGTTGGCGGGGCCAGTCAGAGATAGGGTTTGCCAGTTCTCCGAACTACTCAAATTTTCCACTACCGGTTCTCCATAACTGGTCAGAGCCTGCTGAATACCACCTCTGCTTTGGATCTGACCCAATGTTCAAGCTTCATTTGCAGTGTGATTTGGTCTTGCAGTTAAACCAATGTATCTTGTACCTCATGCTGAATAGGACTGGTCTCCATTTGAAACAGCCTGACCGGATGACGTAAAACCATTTATGAACAACCTTCAATGTGGTTCAACTATATCACAGAACCAACCAGTTAACATATCTCTGTCTTAGACTCAGGGAGATAGGGCGTTGGTACTTACCTGACACGCCCGTTCTCTTTGAGCTGTGAAGAGCATCCAGTAGTGGGAGGTGCTTCAGTCTCTGCATGTCTAGGCTGGGCTTAATTTGTGGAATGCTCCTCCTCCTCCATGGTACTCCTACCCAGCATTCCCCAGTTTTGGCAAAGACGAGAGAAATAACCGCCCTTGTCCTCAATGCCCTAACAATTCGTTGGCCGAAACAGGACCCCACCAGATGGAAAAAAGGGTGGGGCTGGATGCTCTTCACAGCTCAAAGAGAACAGGCGTGTCAGGTAAGTACCAACGCCCTTTCTCCCATGAGCTGTTCAGAGCATCCAGTAGTGGGACATACCAAAGCTTGGCCTGTCCTACGGGAGGGACTCCGTCTGGCCTGGAATCTCCTCCTGGTCCCTGTGGACCCGTTGCAGAACTCTTCTGCCAAAGGAGGCCTCAGCAGATGCAAACACATCTATTTTATAATGCCTAATGAATGGTGATGGAGAGGCCCAGGTTACAGCTCGACAAATTTCAGTTATTGGTGCCTGTGTGGCCCACGCTGCCAATGTTGCGGCGCTCCTTGTTGAATGAGCTGTTATGCCCCTGGGCACCTGCAGGGATTGAGTCTGATAGGTTTTCGCTATCGCGGCCCGTAGCCAACGGCCTATTGTAGAAGGTGAGACCTTGCATCCCTGAGTGTTGGGCTGAAAAGACACAAATAAGGCTTCCGTTTTTCTGAAAGCCGCTGTGCGGTTGATATATATTTGCAATGCTCGCCTCACATCAAGCCTATGCCATTGTAGTTCCAACCCTTGGGATGGTCTGGGACAAAAATTAGGAAGTATCAGCTCTTGTGCCCTATGAAAAAACAAGTTAATTTTGGGTATAAATGTAGGATCAGGATGAAGGACCACCCGGTCAGAATGGAAAACACAAAGATCTTGTCTGATAGACAAAGCTGCAATCACCGAAATACGATGAGCAGAAGTGATCGCTACAAGGAAAACTACTTTATACGTCAGAAATTGGAGACTTGACGATTTCAAGGGTTCGAAAGGAACCTTAGTGAGTGCGACGAAGACCTTGTTAAGGTCCCAGGTGGGATAACGGTGTACCGCTGGAGGGCATAAATTTGTGGCTCCTCGAAGGAAATTCCGTATGCGTGGATGATGGGAGAGATAGTAGACCTTCACAAGTAAGAACTGATGCCAAGGCCTCCACCTGTCTTTTCAACGTATTAGGTGATAATCCCTTGTCAAGTCCCTCTTGCAAGAACTCTAGGATTTGAGCCACAGATGGAGAGATGGGATCAATTCGAGACTCGGTACAACATTTGCAGAAACTGGACCATGTGGCATTGTAAATGCGAGTTGTTGAGGGGCATCTGGCAGCTTGGATAGTGGCGATAACTCTGTTGGAAAACTTTTCGCTCTTCAGACAACTCCGCTCAACCTCCAGACGGTCAGGTGCAACCATTGAGGGTCCGGATGTTGAAGGGGTCCCCGGGTTAGCGAGACCCTGGCTGGTGGAATTCTCCATGGTGTTGATACGGATAGACTGTGGAGGTCTGCAAACCACGGCCGTCTGGGCCAGTAAGGAGCTACTAGAAGTAGTTCCGCCCTCTCGTCTAGCAGTTTCTGGATGACCTTGGGAACCAGTGGAAGTGGGGGGAATGCATACAGAAGTCCCGAGGGCCAACGACAGCGGAGCGAATTGAAGTTCTCCGCTCCTTGCGTGGGGTACCTGGAAAAAAATCTCGGGAGCTGAGCGTTGAGGGGGGAAGCGAACAGGTCCACCACCGGCTGTCCAAATGTCCTGACTGCCTCTTGAAACAGGGTCGGATGAAGGCGCCACTCCGATTGATCGATCGTGGCCCTGCTCAGCCAGTTTGCCTGTGTATTCGACAGACCTGAAATGTGCTCTGCTCTGATGGAAAGTAGGTTGCTCTCCGCCCAACGACACAAGCGCTCTGCTTCTCGCATGTTTCGACTGTGTGCCCCCGTCTGGTCTGAATGATGGAGGTCTCTGGTATCTGGGTGAAAAGGATCCCTGGTAAAAGGGCCGAAAGGATCCCCTCCGAAAGGACTGAGGGTTTCTAGAATCTGACTTCCAAAAAAGGGAAGGAAGAATTTTCTTTTTGTTTTGGGTTTCAATTAGTAGCGGATCAAGGGAAGGGCCAAACAGTCTGTCTCCCATAATTGGGGATGAAGCCAGCTTGTATTTGTGCTTAAAGTCCGCTTGCCAATGTTTTAACCATAGTAAGCGTCGTGCTGTGACATGTGAAGTAATGGCCCTGGCTGAAAACTTGACTGCATGATAAGTTGCATCAGCTGAGAATTCAGCAGCTGCTATAAGTTTAGCAATATCTTGGTGCGCTCTAAGGTTGGAATTAGGGACATGTTCCCGTAAGAGGTGGAGCCATCTGAGAGAAGAACGGGTGAAGAAGGAGGTGGCCGTGGCTGCTCTGATGGCCCACGCGTCAGACTGATGGGCTCTGCGTAGGGCTAGCTCAGCCCATTTTTCCTCCGGCTTTATTGCCTCCAGCGCATCACTGGGAATGGAGGAGGACACTAATCCCACTATAGGTTCATCTACCTCAGGAGTATTCAATAATTTTGAGAAATCAGGGGCTAAATTGAAATGTTTCCTGTCATATCCAGTGGGGGCTGGGTACACTGCTGCAGAGGCCCACTGTTTCTGTACCAGGTCCGAAAACATGGGAGGAACTGGGATCACCTCTGCTTCGACTACTGGTTGGTTGAAAATTAGATCTTCTGGTCCCTCTTCCGAAGGAGTTGGAGTGGTAGAAGGGGTCGACTTGTTTAGGCGTGCAATATTTTTTGCCTTAAACAAGAGAGATCTGAAAAGCTGTGGGCGGAATAAGCCTGTAAAAACAGGTTGATCAGGAACAAGGCCCTCATCCTCAGACATTCCCCTTTCTAAGGGGTCTGCTTCTGACAGGGGCTCGCTGTCATGTATTGATCCTGATTCAATCTCTTCCATTTGATCAATTTGATCCACTTCTTCCTCCTCCTCCTCCTCAGTCGACCCTTGGAGGGGGACCTCCCCTTGTAAATGTACCTGGGTATAGTGCTGCTCCAACCTGGTCAACAACCTCAGCGATTGGGAATCATGATCAGTGATCACAGGATATTCCCTGGTCATAACTGCGTGTTGAAGACCTGCTGCGATTCCCTGGCGGATTGCCAGCTCCATCCAGGTCTTCATCCTGTCTGGAACTTCCTCTGGAAGAATGTCGTCCTGACGAAGACTGGCAGCCGTCGGAGTGAATGTAGCTTTGGGAGCCTTTCGCGTGGTCGGTGTCCCAGATACTTGGGTCTGTTGGCCTTGGGGAGCCAAGCTGCGCCTGGATGAGAGGGAGAGATCTAGGGGAGGAGGAGGGTGGGAAGAGGTAGACGGACCTGGACTGGAGGAGGGGAAGTCCTGTGAGACCTTGTGCGCCTCCCGTGTGCGCTTATCTATCTGTTTTTGTAAAGCTTTATGGTGCCTGATGGCCCCTTTCTGAAGTTTTAGAATTCCCTTTAGCCTGCTTAGGTTTGTGCTGAGATTTGGCTTTGACCTTCAAGGATGAGGTCTGAGAGCTGCTACCGTCTGCCATTTTGATTGAAGTTGGAATTGCAGTATGCTTGTTATACAATGAAGGTGGTTGGCACGCCCAGGTGCCTGATCTAAGGACAGACCGGTTGCCCTGATGATGTTTTTATTGCCCTCTTTCCTCTTTTTTTTTTTTGAATAATACCTATCTATAATGAGTCGTATCTCAGTAATAATATTTTATTGATATTAAAATATTATACCGAAGAGAAAATTACTATTATTATTATTATTATTTAATTAATTATTGTATTATTATATAACCACTAATATATATATATATAGCAATATGTATATGAATATTAATTAAGTGGCACGATGTTACGTGCTGAGAAACCAAACAGCCAAATTGAGAACGCCTAAAGGCCCAGATTGATAAGAGTAGAGGCCTTCAACAGCTTCCCTGCACAGGCGGACACAGGCCTAGGTGCTCGCTGTTGTGCCGCTGAGTTGATTGGGCTGTGGGGGTTAAGCCAACAATTTAACTGTAAGAATAGCCTCGAATGTAGAAAAAAACCAAGATGAGGGTATAATGGTCCCCAGTGTTCCTGAAGGGAACCTCTGCTCGGAACAGAGTTACCTCACACAGCACGAAATGGAATAAAGGCGCGTGGCCACGAGGTCTTGTAAAAAAAGATGGCCTCCGGCCGTTAATCTTTTGGCACGCTCCCCAGCAGCAAACTCCCACCATGTGAAGGAATAGCCTCCGATGGCTTTTCCTATAAGGCTAAGCGGCGGGGAAGGGTGGAAGGCACTAAGCATTTGAATCCGCCACCCCAAGTGGCGTTCAGAGGGGGAAGGAAAGCGATACGACTCTGTTGGGAGTAAAGAGCTCACGCCGCTGTTCGGGTAAAAGAAACTCTGCGGCAATCTGTCGGAATGGCAGGGGTAGAAAGATCGGTTGTGGGGAGGGGGCACGGAACAGCGCCGAAGCCTCCCGCCGCTTTGGGCGCGAATTGGCGCTTCCCTGTAATGCGAGCGATCTCTGTAATGCGAGCCAACGTTGAGAGATCGCAACGCGATTAGGAGCCTAAAGGATTCTAAAGACAAGCTGATTAACTTTCAAACCAGCTAGCAAGGAAAGAATTTTTCCTGTTTCAGCCAAGGAAGAATCACAAGCACTGCCTATCTCTCACGAGGCTGAGCCAAAACTGGGGAACGCTGGGGAGGAGTACCGTGGAGGAGGAGGAGCGTTCCACAAATTAAGCCCAGCCTAGACATGCAGAGACTGAAGCATCTCCCACTACTGGATGCTCTGAACAGCTCATGGGAGAATAAGAGACCTTTTCAAATGCTACATTCAAGATAGACCACATTCTTAGCATTCTCTTGGTCTATCAAAGAAATCATTCTGTAATAAAGGAGATAAGGTGAGTCTGACATGATTTGTCCTTATCAAAATCACACTTGCTCCTGAACAACAGGATTGTTTTCGAAATTCTCAGAGACATGCACTCATTCTAATCTCTTGTGCAATACAGACATTAAGTTAATCTATCTGTAGTTTCCGAGTCTTGTCTCTTCCCATTTCTCAGTATCACAAGGCAAGATTACTCCATACACCCATTACATTTACAACTTTTGGTATATCCAATATAGTATTTGTATTTGCATCCATACTTTGATGAAAATGGAAAGGCAAAATAAAGATGAACATGTTTATGAATCCATACTTATTAGCCTACAAAATCTCTGAGTAACTTGCAAGGAGATAGCAAAGGGAGGAACAAAAAAAACACCTCAGAACTGTTTTTACATTTTTATCTGGGGTATATAGGAAGGGCTATTTGATTTTGGTGCAAGGTACAAATAACAGCATAAGAAAGACAAGTGTGGTCCTTCCACCAGCAAAATCATTTACTCATTTGGACACACAATTTCTATCACCACAAAAGAGATATTATTTTGTATGTGCAAAAACAAGAAAGATGCTTTATTTTGTGGTTCTGGACAAAACAGGCCTTCGGAATGTTTCGGGATGGCTGAGCTCTGACGGATCAACACTCAAAACAGTTCAAAGGTTTTTGGTTTAGGAAAACAACGGGAACCCAGAGCAAGGATCTTCTCCCCCTTTGGTTTACATCTACCAAAAACATAAGACTACAAACAGGAGTGTGTGAAGTTCAGAAACCCAATTAAAACATTAGCCCTGTAGTGGCTCTTTGCATTTAAACTTCTGTTAAGTTCAGCAAAATTGGTAGCATTTGTATATGAAGCACGTTAGGTGCAAGCATGAGTGTGGAAATATATTCTAACTGCATTTATCTGCTGGCTTTGCAGTTCCCTGGGATTACCTGAGACACAGTATTTGCTGTACAGCTCAAGGGAGAGGGAGTTCAGAGGAAGACCCATGCCCACCCCCTCTTCATCCTAGGGCACGCAGGCAGGAACGAAGAAGGGGGCAATGTGGGGTGTGTGGCTTAGGGGGAGGAAAGGGCCCTGATTCCCTTCATTAGCCACAGCTGAGAAGACAGTTGATAAGAAAGGCAGGCTGCATGCGGCAGGCTGTTGGGAGCAAACGTGACTTTATCTTGTATCGTTGTGGCTTATCTGTGTTCCTGGCTTCTTCCCAACCGTGTGAGTTTTGCCGTGCTTTCAAGTCTGAAATTCTTGCTCCTGCCCTACCAAACTAATTACTTCAGTTTGGCTTGTTTGGTCTTTAAGTTACAGGTTTTTTTTTACCACGTTTTGGACTTAATTCTCTGCAGTCAAAGGCTGTTCCTGGGAGAGTTTTTCTCCAGCCAGAAGGTTACCTGGACACTGGGGGCAAAGTTGGAGCTAATAAAGGGACTCTTACTCATTATCTGACTGTGTTGCCTTTGTGCCATGTCCCGGGTCATCACAGAAGGACTCAACCCTACAAAGACCACTGTTGGGTCCAAAATTTATGTTGTAAGGGAAACGTCTGTTAAGTGGGGTTTTGCCTCGTTTGTGACATTTCATGGCATGCTTGTTAAGCGAATTGCTGCAGGGGTTAAGCTACTAACCCGGTTGTTAAGTGAATCTGGTTCCTGCGTTGACTTGGCCTGTCAAGGAGGTCGCCAAAACGGGTCACGTGACGCCAGGACACTGCAGAACGTCACAAATAGGAATCAGTTGCCAAAGGGTCTGAATTGTGATCATGTGACGACGGGGGCGCTGCAACAGTCGTTAAGTGTGAAAAACGGTCCTGAGTCACTTTTTTTCAGTGCTGTTGTAACTTCAAACAGTCACTCGACAAACTGTTGTAAGTCGAAGATTACTTGCAGTTGTAGAATCTGGATATTTCCTGTTGCTGATTCCGGAGGAGGTGCTACTCCTGCAAGCAGAATCGGTGCACAACTGGAGCTCCTCTTGGACTCAGAATTCCTATTTCAGGAACCACGTGGCCGTTATGGGCAGGATGGCCCTTACAGAAAATCATCCTGGTGTACCAATTGTGCCCATTCCTGGACTGGATGACTCGTGCTTAAAAATGATACCTGGGACCAGAATTTCCATTGCTAAGCGATGGGGTGGAAAGCATTACAATTACTGACAGCAGTTCTGGCAGATCCTGGTTACCATTGCTAAACAAATCACTGCAGGTCATTAAGCCAGGACCTTATGTGACTACAACTCCGACTACCTTCCGGCTTCTCCACTGACTTTGCTTGTGGGAAATCAGCACGGAAAGTGACAAATGATGAACCCATGACCATGGGGGCTGGAAATCTGGGCCGGTTGCCAAGCACTCAGGCTCCAAGCACACAACCATGTGGGTGCTGCCACCACAAGAACCAATGCTAAGTACCATTCATTTAACGCCATCTTAAGTGAATGGTCACTGAACGAGTGGTCCTTAACCAAGGACCACCTGTACTTGCATTTACTCATGCATTATCTCCCAGTTGGATGGTGCAATGTGCTCAATGTAAGAGTTGTCTTGAAGAGAACATGGAAGCATTAATATCATTGAGCTGTGGTGGTGCAGTAGTTAAGAGTCCAGTACTACAGGCTACTTCTGCTGCCTGCAATTTGGCAGTTCAAATCTCACCAGGCTCAAGGTTGACTTGGCCTTCCATCCTTCCAAGGTGAGTCAAATGAGGACCCAGATTGTTGGGGGCAAGAAGCTGACTCTGTAAGAGAGGGCTGTGAAGCACTGTGAAGTGGTATATAAGTCTAAGTGCTGTTGCAATTGCATTAACTTCCAGTAGATCTCTGGATGCCATATCAGGTTTTGGGTGATGTCTACAAGACCCTGCATGGTAACATCCACGCTTCCTGTGAGGCCATCTATCTCTGGTTGTTTCCACTCATCTTACCAGATCTAGAAGAGGAGGCATTTTGTTCTGTCTTCCTCCTGTGAAACAGGATCATCTAATGGGATCCCGGAGGTGGGCCTTCGTTGCTATGGCACCCGTCTTTTAGAACAGCCTGAGATCTGAATGGCCACAACCCTCTCAGCTTTTGGAAGGCACTGAAGGCCTGTTTTCTTCCCCTCAAGCTTTAGGGCTAGGATGTTATTGGAGCGATGTTGAGATGCTTTATGATGCATTATGGAAGAATTTTCCTACACAATTCAACTGCATCATACTGTTTTTATTTTGCATTGTTTTCTTCCTAGAGTTTTTCTATTATAAATTCTTTAAATAAAACTTTTTTTTAAAAAAAAATGTGGTACTGGGGTGACTATATTAGCAGACTCCCGGATCTTCACAGTGGCTTCACTCAGAGATTAGTTTACTACCATTAAGTTGGTTTCTTCCGATCCATCTTCAAGATTTCCAGACATCCAGAAGCTAAATAAGCAAGACAATCTAGGCCAGGGGTGTCAAACTCAATTTCATTGAAGGCCATGTCAGGGCTGTGTTTCACCTCAGGAGGGCGAGGTGTGTGTGTGTGTGTGTGTGTGTGTGTGGCCAGGATAGGCATGTCCAGCTCAACGTCACTTGTGTTGGGGATGCCTGTGGTGGCCCAAGTGCTCTGCCAGCGAAAACGGAGCTCACAGCCCTCCCGAGCACCGTTTTCGCTTGCAGGAGGCTGTCGCAGCCAAAAACTGAGCTCCCAAGCTCTTTTCTCTGAGGCACCTCGGCCCGGTCCTTCGCTGTTCCCAAGGCGGCTCTGTGGGCCAGATCTAAACACCCCGCTGGCCGATCCATTCCCTGATCTAGGCTCTTGATAAAAGCATCATATTTGTTCCATCCTTTTATCTACAGTTTCTTATTCTACATTTACATTTGATTTGATTTGTCAATCGCTTACAAGATACAGGTATAAGAATAAATATAGTTTTGAATGCATGAGATAGAAACTTATAAGAAAAATAAAAAACAATAGGACAGGGACGGTAGGCACGATTGGTGCGCTTATGCACGCCTCCTACAGGCCTCTTAGGAAGGGGGTGAGGTCAATAGTAGACAGTCTAAGGTTAAAGTTTTTGGGGTTTGGGGAAGAAACCACAGAGTCAGGTAGAGTATTCCAGACATTGACCACTCTGCTGCTGAAGTCGTATTTTCTGCAGTCAAGTTTGGTGTGGTTTACCTTGAGTTTGTATCTATTGTGTGCTCTTGTATTGATATGATTGAAGCTGAAGTACTCATTGACAGGTAGGACATTGCAATGTATGATTTTATATACTATATTTAGATCGGACCGGAGGCAGCGTAGTTCTAGATTTTCTA